CTTTTTGATAAATAATTCGTTCTTATTGCGAAATAGGAGCACTATTTATCAATCTGTAATAAAAGACGTGAGGAAATTCTGTCTTTTTTTAAAGAAAAAAATTTTTGAGGCGAAATACCCAAAAAGAAGTTTGTAAAAAAAACTTCTTTAACACCGTGGAATATTTCTTACTCTCCAAATAATTGTATTGAAATGTATGTAATAAGCATCTGTATTTTAAGCGGAACTGTTTTACAAACACGATTCAAGGCAAAACAAGAGACAAGATGTGAAATTTTGTCCGTTTTGTTGTCGCTTTACTGTTTAGCCGTGACAATCACGTCGATTTAACGTGTCGAAACAGGTGAATTTGACGTAGATTGTGTCGTCTTTTGCCCGTGATTTTTACTGGGTGGGCAATTGAAGACCAGCGTGAGAGTAGACGCAATTACAAATATTAAAAGAGAGAAACTGAGATATTGTGGGCCAGTCAGAAATGAATTAATATCCTAATTTCATCACCAGTAGAACCTGGACTGGCGCACAGAAAAATGCAAATTTCTCTCTTAACAAAACTAAAGGTTTAAAAAATCAAGTCAAAGAATTACTTATAGTTCTTGTTAACTTAGTGTAGCAGATTGTGGATAAGTTCTATATTGTTATGGCGGATTAATTTTTCCACAAACCACAAACAGTTTGTTGGGTATTTTGCCTCAAAAATTTTTTGCAATAAGAGCACTGTTTATCAATTTGTAATAAAAGACGTAAGGAAATTCTGTCTTTTTTAAACAGTTTGCGAAAAAATGAGTGTAGGAGAGTTCGGTGAAAGCCAAGCAACACGTAAACTCTCAGAATCAATTGATTATTGTAAAACTTTGCCTGCAATCAACGTCAGCATACAAAACACCAATTTCCACCCCCATTCAAATCGATACGTCGTTACGTTTTATTTTCCGCCCGCTTTGAGCTCACCGAACAAGTGGTTAATCAAGATTTGAGTGTTGGTAGGTAACTCTTTCGCTTATCTTACCTCAAAATCTCAAGTTGATGAATGGTCGGCATGGCCTTAGCCCGACCTTTGACCATGGGCATTTTTGCCACAGTCATCCTGGATCGATGATGGTATCTGGATATGCGGCTCGAAAGCTTTTAGCGAGCCAAGTTTTTTTTTTTTTTGCGTCTAGGGAACGATTTGTTGTGAATCGGGAGACTTATGGAAATGGGTCAGTGGGACGGCATTGATTCGTTCCCCCAGTAATTATCCGGCTTTGGGGGACTTAAATTTTGTTTAATTTCATATGTCACGAAATATTAAGTTTTGCGCTATGCCGCAGGTTGGAAACAGCCGATTTTATTGATTTTACACGGTTTTGTAATGCTGCGTTTGTGACACAGAACTGAATAATGAATGTCTGTATTGAACTCCTGCGAAACAAAGTTCGGATACCGTTGCAAACTCAGTTCCTGGGACTCCAAAGAAATCCTCCCGAGTTTGGCAAAAGAAACTTCTTTCAAATTTAGTTCCAAATAAAGGAAACACATCTGCATTGAAAATTAACGAAAAGTGATTTACTGCTCGAATTTAATTCAATGTCATTAAGTAATTTTGATATATATTTGTGTGCGGTTTTCACCTCGCCCTATAATTAGGCCTGAATGATTTATATCCAATTTGGCCTCAGATATGAATATTTAATGAGTCAAAAAGTTCCCTTTGAACCAACCTTGAAAAATAGACTGGCGAACTTAAAGAAATAAATTTTTAAAACTGATTTTTTTGAAATATTGTGTGTAAGACGAATTCATAAATTCCAGCAATCCTCTTTTGATATCTAGAAAGATTTGAACCCCATACTTAAACGCCTACTACTCAAATAAATCGGACCCTAATATATCTTTGCTTTATTCTGTATTCATGAGGTCGTAAATCGTAGAGATTCGCTCGATTTTTTGCCCGCCTTATTTCGGCCATTACGTTATCTAGAACAGGACCTATTTTTTATTTGGAGTTTGCAATGAACGCAAAACAGTATTTAGCAGAGGCTAAGAGCAAATTTCCAAGAGTTTTAAGCAAAAATGTATCACTCATAAATATTTATGAGTTAAAAGCTTGTGAATATTTGGAGTAAAAATGAATTATGAACTCCCTTCATTATGAAGATAAAGTGAGCCCGGAGTCTGGGAATGGTCTTTGAAAAGTATGCAATAAATTAAAGAAAATTTGCCATATTTTCAGGGTGTTTGCCTAGAAGGACTGGAATTATCAAGATTTTATTTTCCAAAAGCAAAGGGTTTCTGATTGTTGTTTCCGAAGTTTCGAAAATACATACGTTAATTATGACAGCGATAAAATTATTAGGGTCAGCGATAAAATCTCCGAATCAAATTGCTGTATGATTTATTAGTGTATTTTTGTCCTTCTATCTAACTACTCATTTGCCACTATGTTTTCTTTACTTATATATAAGTGTGTTTAAATGACTTTTTATTAATTTAGTAGTTGCAAGTAACATCCTGTGTTCTGCTAAGAAAGTGATTTGAACTATTTCATCCTACTTATTGACAATTTTGGTTTTTTATTTTTTGTTATTCAAATTACGGTTAAAAAATAATTGCTTTTCACAGGCATTTTATTTTCATCATATACTTTATTTGGTTGAGATATTTATAAAGCTTTCCAGACAATCACTCTAAGAGTTTGTTTAAAAGTAATCATGCATCGGAAAGCTTTCGCACAATTTTCCATTTCAAGCCGTCAATAAATCGGCGCAAAATTATAATTAAATGAAATTTGTTGGCAGAGCAAACTTAAAATTGGAAAGCAGGTTCAATAAAGCGATTAAAACTAAAACACATTTTCCGAGGAGTTCCGAAAAAACTTCAGGCAATATTAAATTAGATTTGCATAAAATAATAAGCTTTGGGTTTTTTCGGTAAATGAAAATCGAAATTGGGAGCCTCTGCTGCAAATATTGTCCATTATTAAAATTGAAAAACACCAGAGTTGGAGACAATTTCAGTAATTTCGCGAAACTTCAACACAGAAAAACTCACAGTTTCAATTTTATCGCTGAAAGCCAATGGGAAAAGTTTTAAATTATTCCTTTTAATCCTTCAAAAAGCAACTTGGTTAAATAACTGTGTCCTCAATTACCTGGCGAGATTTAAAGGATCGCAAATAAATAACGATTTTCTAACATCCAAGTTGATTTCGTAGAAAATTCTCACAGCCCGAACAGTGCAAATATTAATAAATTTAGGGTCTCACTGTGAAATGGGTTCCATTCTGAAGGCGCTTTGCCGCAATAAGGAGCAATTAAAAATAAAACCGACTGCAAAGGATACTTTATCAGCGGATTAATGCAGGCAATTTAATTCGTTTCAGGCATTTTGGTTTACCTATTCTCTACATAGCTTAGTTTATTAAGGTACTTTAGGGGCTAATGGGTTTAATGAATCGGTCCTGGCGGTTTGAGCTATTTGTGATGAAATATTTGGCAAATTGAGCCGTAAATATTTGTGATGCTGTATAAGCGATCAATGTAAGTGAGTAACATCAATATGCCTATGCCCAAAAAACACGAGGTGGAACAGTTTACTTTACACATTGTGCGCTTTATTTTGAGTCCCTTTATACAGCAAACATGTACACGCTTTGCACAACACTCAACCAAACTATGAAAAGAGTTAATCTTTTATTGCACTAGCTAACTTGTATTTTATTTACTCAAATCATTTTATGTCATTTACCAGAGTATGAATTTTTGCTCTTGCATTTTTAGTTGACTTTTTCCTTCTTTCGCCTCAATCCAATTACGTTTTTGTTAGCCTTTGGATGTGACGAGTTTGACCTTTGCGTGGGGTAAAATTAGCGTTTGGCTCAGGCCGATTGGTTGAACTCTAGATTAAATAGATATAACGCAAAAGCTGAAGTAAATGCCTTGAACCTGAAACGTGTGCATGATAAGTATCGGATACCGTTTGTCTGATATAAATTTTCAAGATTGAGGTGAGAAAGCTTTTAGCTCGCCAGGCTTTTCCTGTGTTTCTGGAAAACTTCTCTATTGTATAAGCGTTCTATGCCAATGGGGATTGGAGACGGCGAAACTACAGCAAAGAAGGGCGAAAATAAAATTAGTGTTCCAAATGGATTGGGGCTGGATAAGTTTGTGCCACTCGAAGATCGATTTTAATCCTCGTGTTTAATTGAAATTTATAACATCGCGCGATAGAGTCGTTTTCAAATAAGTCATGGTTTCATTGGGAAATAAAGCGCATGTTCTCGAATTTCCTACAGAAAAATATCCTAATTGAATTGGAGCAGGCTCAGGTTCGAGAATGAGGCTCTCGACTCAAACGAGGAAATAGAAGCGTAGGTTGCATGTTTTTATTGCATTAGCATATGGTGGATGTTGAAAACAACGCTATTTTTGGTACAAGTTGCGGTTTGTTTTTCCAGCTCAATATATTTTAAATTGGGGAAAAAGATGCGAATCGGAAAATTGTTTCTTGAAGTTGATGTTTTACAGTCCAAACGCAAATAGGATCTGGAATGTCTCCTGATTTAATCTCCTCTTGTTGGCGCTTCAACCAAAATGAGAAATTTCTGCTTAACCAAGGCAGGTACCGTTTTTTTTATTAAACAAGACCATAAATCAGGCTTAAAATAATTGATCATCGAATTCTAAACAATGCGCAATGTTGTCTTAGTTATTTTTTTGCAGTTTCTTAAATCACCCAAAGTCTCGCCAGTGTATATTGCGACAACAGGTTGGCACCGTTTGGCACGGTTTTCCTGCTACTTGAAATTGATTTACTGTTGATTCTGAAAGGGTTGATGAAAGTCCCTTTGTAACTTTTTAAGCACAGCTCGACCTGGGAAACGCCAACATTTTGTTCACGTCCCATCTTTCTCTTAATGGCGTATACATTTAATTGATTCCTTCGGGAACCGCACATACCATTCGTTGCCAATTTCCGAATAATTTATTTAAAACAGCAGTTCAAACATCGAATGGGTTTGAATTATTTATGCCTGGATTTATATTGATGCATGTCTCGAGGTGCAGTGGAACTGGCTCTCTAGGCCATGTTAATGCTGTTAAAATAGAGAATTGAATAAAGAGTAATTTTCGAAGCGCTATTTTTAGAAGGGGGATGTTAACGACCGCCAATGAGTTCAATGCACGAACTGCAGTTTGGATTTTCCAGGAAATCGAACATTTAGGGCAATAGATTTTTAAAAGCAAAGTAGTGTTTTACCAGAAAATATAAATAAACTAAATTCAGCACAGTTAACACTATACTTTAAGCAGTGTTTTCGCATTTTAGATGCTGGAATTGATCTAAAAATGAGTGGCATTCTGGATCTAAATGTGAGAGAAACGGGAAAATTTCAGCCCCCGTAGTCAGCAGGAACATTCATATTTTATGATCGAGCATTAAATTCCATAAACCGTCAAATAGTGTTCAATAAATTCGGCAAATCTGAAAATTCACGCTCCGGCAAGTACGTGGAGCATATTGAATAATTTACATTTGGAATGTAAACTTTACATATTCACTGTTTAGTTTTTTTGGGTTGGTTTTGTTGTGTCGCCAATTATGGAATAAAAACCATTCAGTGACATTAAAACATTCCTTTAGGGAACTAAATGGATGCCAAATAATTTTTTCAATAAATCTTTTGTTTCAACGGTAGTTTAGCTTGATTAATATTTCGGTAAACCTCATGTAAAGTGACTGGCGTCAGCCATGAACTTTCACCGCCGAAAATCGATTAGGCTTATCCAGGTGATGCATAGGCCCTTAAATCCATCTAGAGCTTGAGGCAAGACGTCTAAGTTAGAGCCTTATCGACATAATCAAAACACTTGGATCTTAATTAAAGGCAAACAATTAAAGCGGAGCGTCGAATAAAAGGAGCAGAGAAAAGGAGCTACAACGAGTTTACGATGTACTTTTGTGCGTAAAAATAAGCTGGGAAACTTTTTTGATTTAGTTGTCCTAAGCATGTTAGTGGACATTCGGGATTTGTAAAAGGGTCAGGTTTGAGGGCGTTTGGTTGGTCGGGAAGTTTACTGACGGTATTCCAGGCACAAAGGGGCTTGTTAAATTTTTATGAACGGCTTCCATTTGCCGAAAGAATATCCAACACTCAATCCATTTGCCTTCGAAGTTATATTGACGGAATATGAAGAATAGCATGTAAAAGTAAAAACTAAATCTGGACCTGAGGAAGTTGATAATCGTAACTTTGGTCGAAGGATTGAGAGATTGTTAATTTTTCAACGCATAAAATCTTCAAAGTATTTTCAAGCATAGAAAATCGCCTGGCACTTCCAGACCTGAAATTCAAAGTAACTACCTCTCTTTGCAGGCATTTTTTCTCTACCCCAGTTTTTCCAGAGTTTCTTTATGTACCCGATATTTTCGCCAGTAAAACAGCAACTAAGTCCTTGGCGCTCCTTCGCTGGCCGCTTTATTCAGCTAATTTTCCAGAAGCTCTGCAAGTTGAAATTGTGTCATTTGCTTTTCACACATGAAAATTCCAGCTTGGAGGAATTGTGCGCTAATCCAGTTAACTCGGTTGAATCCAAATTTAGAAATATGCAGTTGCCTGTTTGATCCTATTATTCGTTTTAGAAACTGATCTATAAGGCGTTAAGTAAGTCAGTAAACAGTGAAAAAATTTTTGGAAAATTGAATAAATTGTCTTAAACGAATTGTTAAGATCTGCGGATTTTAAACTGTCGCTTGCTCTATTGCTCGTACTTTGTTAGCAAAAGGAGTTCAATCAACCGTCTTTATCCAACTACAATTCCAATTCGCAATTTGAAAAAACGCTGTTCTTGCCTGGCAATTTCAAACAGTGTCCCTTAATCGAGAAAACCAGAGAAAATCAGCCCATAAAGCCCACAGGTAAGATCGCTAATACGGGCACATGAGTGGTTGTGAGCTTTTTGAGGGAAATTTCTATTTATAACCAGCTTCAAAGCGGGGCAAAGTTAGCGTATTGCTAACGAACCGCTTGAATTTGCCCGTATGGCACTGGCAGGCTACTGTAATGAATTAAAAATCGTTTGAGGCCAGAGTGGAACAACCTGCAAGCTCAGAGTCAAGCTGAAGTATGTTTTTCAATTTTCATCAATTTCTGCGAAAATTTCAAACCCTCACAACCCTTTGACTGCACCTTCAAGGTTCAAGTGGATGTATTTATATTGTAGAAAGCTCTCCAAAATACACTTAAAAAATTGATGGATATTTTCTGATTTCAATTGACTGTTCGCGAAAACGGCCCTTTCACAATGCGACTGAAATATCATCCTCGTCTAGTTCGTTGCATTCTGAAACACTTTTGGGCTGAGAGCCACTTCTTTGATCTATTAATCTCTAGCTGTTTCTTTCCGTGAACATGAGAGGAGTGCTGAGTAACATCTGTTTTTATAGCAAAAGTTTCACTTAAACGTTCAACTGTAGGCACTGATACTGCAAACATTCTAGACGTACAAGAACAAGTATTGCTGCAATTTTACCAAAAATCGTTGCATTCGGCTTTTGGTATAAATCTTCCCTGATTTGGATGTTTTTGGTTTTGTTGCAGCCGATAGCAGCTTTCTTCTAGCCAACGCACAGATAGTGGATTATCCAATAGTGTACTGCAACGAGTCCTTCTGCAAGATCTCAGGCTACAACAGGGCGGAAGTGATGCAGAAGTCCTGCCGATGCGCCTTCATGTTCGGCGAGCTGACCGATAAAGAAACAATCAGTAGAGTGGATCACGTTCTGGAACATCAGCTGCACGATCAGTTTGAGATCCTGCTCTACAAGAAGAATAGTGAGTATTGCTTTTATTCGATTTCAACATCATTTGTAGACGTTCTTCTTTGGATTTTGACCTCTGGTGACATGTGCTGATCAGCCTCAAAGTTGCGGCAACGCAGTTTGTTTATCATAAGTAGCTTAGCGGGAATTTTTTCCTGCAGTCATTGTCTCTGCATACTTGTTTAGCCATTCATTTATTCAGCTGCTCCAGGACTCAGGGCACTTCAACGAGCTCTTTTCGCTCTAGCATTGAATTTTACGGAGGATTTGCTGATGTTCCATGCCTGTCCTTCACTTTGAAACGGAGATCGCGATGTTCTGGCGTTTAATTCAAAATTCTGCCTGGTTTGTGCACGTGCTGCTATAAGCAGCCACATACTCATCTTAAATTTCAAATCTGAGTTCGTTTGGGCCATGTAGATGTGGCTGGGAAGTTGCCAAGAAGATTCGTCTATGTAATATATTGATTTATTAGGCGGCTCAACTTTATATTTCGCTTTAAAATTGCCGCCTTTTAATAATATGTTCAGCCCTTCAATGGCAGGTAAATGAAACGTGAAACAACGAAACGTTCTGTTCCTGGTTGTGCATTCACTGAACCGATTTGATAGTCACAAGTCTCACAGAGAAATTCGCGTTTCTATTTACATTTTTCCGGTTAGTTGCTTCCACATGTATTTATGCATATACTCGTAAAGCTCCAAGATCTCCTTAGTGCTTACGTTAGATGTGAATTCCGTTTGATGTTGAATCCGCTCTATTTTCCTTTCCCTGCGTCTAATGCCCTGAATATAGATACAACAGCAGCTGCTGGAAATTATATTTATAACAACTTCTTCCACTGAATTGTGTACAACTCAATTTTTACACAGTGATATTTGAGCCTCTAAATAAAATTCCTTTTCATTTAATTTACATTTGCAAATATGAACCGTTATCTAGTTCATCAAAAGCGTTAAGATGTCGAAGTAATAGTTTAAAACTGAAAAGTTTTTTGGGCTGACGTGGACAAGAGTTATTCGAAACCCGAAAAACTCACTAGTTTGCATTCGAAATTACTTCACCCACGTTCGGCGAATTTTAAATGGTTTAGGAAACTAAATATTCGAGGAAGCACGTCATAAATAATACAATACTTTTGCGCTTGATTGCCCAGTCATCAGCTACTGCGTTTCTCCTCTCTTCGTTATTCTTTTGTAGTCAGTATTTGCTTCATTATTCACAGCGTTTTCATTTAAAGGAACTTGGAATTTATGAAAACTGGATTACGCTTAATATCCGCTTCAGTTACACCACTTTGATCAAATACTGTTTCAGAAAAGAAGGAATCAACAGTTTAAAAAATCGATTGAGAGTTATCCGAGGAAAAAGTTGCTCTGAGGCGTAAAGTTATGTCACCAGGTCAAAGTTCTTTGATCAGGAAGCAACACCAAAAAACCCAATTCCCAAATTACTGCCTCGATCCAATTAGAATCTTCCATGGCAAAGTAAATTTTATATTTGGGTTCTTCGGTGTTTCCGATTTTCCATAAAATATGTTCTTACACAGAAACTTATCGAAAACTTAACATCAATTATATTTGAATCAAGATAAGCCCCATTGAATTAAACTACTTGTTTTCTATAGAAGTCGATTTCAATCAACAGAAATATTAGGGTGTTCAAACAAAAGTTTTTATCATTATTGGCAATTTGATTTAAGAACAGGATTTGGGACGGTACGCTGATGTTAAAATAAAATCGCCGACACAAATCCCGTTGTTAAACCAAACTCCGTCATTGAAGAAAACCGTTAAACGCAGCACCATAACTATTTGTAAACCAGAATTAGGTCAATTTCGATAGGACTTACCACACATTTAAACGAGGAGAGAAAGCAACTGTTAGATTTTTGAAAAAAGGATAACAATTAAAGGCGAATGAACCGCTAATTCAGTGTCATAATATTTAAGCGATTCCAAAAAGCATGCTAAAATTTCCTTTGTAAATGCACCAAAGTACTAATCCTTAAACTGTATTTGCACCAAAAATGCTCAACAGTGTCCATTATCTTCTAACGTATGATATACCTCATACTATAAACAGAAATATAAATGTGTGTCATATTTGCAATTTTTTCGCTTTCATTTTATTAAATATAATTTTTGTTTGGGTGGAAGAACTTTCATTGTATTAGCATGTAATCTTTATCGACATTCGTCGTCTACGTCGCTCCAAATTAAATATTTGTGATAGTGATTAAATAATTTGCGCGGAAATTGGATAAATTTTAAGCAGTAATTTCCGCTCGCTGTGGAAATTGGATGCGTCGAAAGTTTTGTGGTTAATTTGGTGCAACTTCACCCAGCTTATATGGGATAGAAGTTGTTCTTTAGTGCTTTGTTACGAGCGACTCTCTGATGAATTGTTCAGGAAATCTTTCAGTTGATGAAGAAGCCCAGAAAAACAGCGAACATAAATGGCCGTGTTGAAAATTCAGTTCGGATTAATTTACTTTGACGTAAATTTGAAAATTCTGTTTTTTTTACTCTTTTAAGCTCTTTTTCCATTCGTTAGAACGAAATCTCTATTTTCTAAACTCAAATATTGCCACCCATCCAATCCAAGGCAATAAATCCTTTACAGCGCCTCAAACTGCCCCAGCTCTAAACTGACAAATAGCAAGAGTAAAATAGAGCCTCCAATTTATTAGAGCCATAATTTCTCTTAAACGTTTTATCTGTGCAAATAGCTGCCAAGTTTCAGCGGGCTCAATCTGCGGTAATACTAGTATGTCGACAGAGTCTATTTTTAAACTCCCTGACGGGTCACCAAAATCCCCGATACAGCTTTCATAAAAAATTCTGGGGTCGAATTGTGTTATCGAGCGTTTTGTCCACAGTTAATTTATTTGCTGGTTTGGCACTGTTTATTTTATAAATTAGAACGGATTTGAAACGGAAATAAGTGGGTGGAATTTGAAAACTTTTAAGGAGGAGAGTGTTTTATTTGAAATGCGAGCTCTTTAATTTCGAAGCTTTTACTCCCTGTTATCTTGCTTGGTGAAGCCGAAGAATCGTAATTTAATAAAGTGTTTTCCGGTTTTACTGCAGTTAGCTTGATTCGACAAGTTACTAAAAATTAAAGTTTTTTGTTTGCGAGCAAGTTTCAATAAAATTGTGTAACGCCGTTGTGAAAAATAGTTTCTTCCAGGCGTTTCGCAAGCACGCGTGGCCCGCATCTTCAGAGGTGGTTGATTGCGAAACGACCGGCAGAACGTCGTTTCTACAACGGGCTAAAAGTCCTAAAAGTTCAACAGTTTTTAGCAACAAAATTCCAACTCTTCTTCATGCGTTTGAGAGGTTACTGTATTTTGTTTTCATAATTTCTTTGTTCCTAGATGTTTTGACTCGTTGCTGGCCCTTAAAGTCACTTTTATATTAAAAAAACATAAACCCGAACCAAGTGCTTGCGCTATAGTCTATTGCAGATGTAAATACAGTTTAAGGACATTTTTGAAATAGGAAATTTAACAAGTTTTTTGAATCCAACAATTTTCTGTGTTTTTCTGTAAATAATTCCTCTGTGTTTGCTCGGTCCGTTCGCCTGAACCCGCGCATGCTCTGTATAGAAAACAAAGGTATGTAGCTTTCCCTACTTGGAATGCTGCCAATGGTTAATAATTGCTATTCTATGTGCAAATATCAAATTACCACTTTTTCCTTCATCTTTGCTTCTCTGAATTTCACTCGTCCTCAGCAACAGGTTATAATTTATCAGGGTATGACACACATTTATTCGCTGAACTTGACTGACTACTCGTCACTGTTTCTGGGGATTTGAGAGCAACTTTAAAATCACTTGAAACTTTCACTCATTGACCAACGTCGACCTAATGTGCATTTTTAAAGGATTTTTTAAATATTCTGTTCCTTCAGCACGAATTTCATTTTGTTAGTGGTAATTTAATATTAATCGACTTTCAGGCATGTTTGGCAATTAATAGCTTTAGAGCATAACTTACAATTAATTGATTTGTCCTAGTGCGGTGACGTAGATGTAAATTTGTTAGTCAAGTTATATTTGTTGGTGTGTAGTCGTGATTAGTTAGAAACGTAGACGTTGTCGTCTGTTTAAATTTATGTTTCGCGACCATCCTTTGAGCAATTGAAGATTTTCGGGGTTTCGCACTGTCGTCAATGGGAATTTGATCCTCACGTTTCGGCCTTGGCTACCATTTTCAGAGAAGAACCTCTGAAGATGCTAGCGAAACGTCTGGGCCACATTCCAACGGCGTAAAAACCCTACACGCTCCGATTGTTCAAATGGAGTGGCTGTTAGTTTAGAAATAGGAAGTAATTGGTGTGCATTTAAAGCAAATAATTACCGTTGCTGCATGTACCGAAAACTACTTGATAGTAGCAGATTTTCCAAATTTTATTTTCTAAAACGGGACAGTTTTACGGCGAACATCAGAAAAATAGCGGAACGTCTTGCGAATATTTCTCCTATAAATGTGAACTATAAATTAGAATGATACGAACATTCTGCGCTGCAGTGTGCTGTTCGGCTGCACAATGTCGGTGGAAATGCGACGTGCTAATTTTCTCGGCTCTGGCTTGATCTCAATTAGGCGAACGAAATATGGATCTGTCTATTTAATCTTTATTAGGAAAATGCATCTTTCCAACAAGCAAATTATCCCCGCTTTAGTTCATTCATCGGATTTTTTAAACGCGCAGTGGACTATAACCGGAGCAAAAAATTGGCATTCATTTGGTGAAGAAATCATGTGTTTTATCCCTCATTTATCACTTATAATTAAGGATATAATATTAGAACTGAAAGTTACAACTTTGAAATCATGTTTCATTGATACTTTTGCTTTTTGGAAATTTTTTAAACAATATTTAATGTATTTTTGTAATTTCAGGTATTCCCGAAGGTACGTAATTTTAAGCAAATTTTGAATTGCTGTAAAAAGTTGCTAGACTCTTTATTGATCTTTTTCTCTTCTTTCTCTCTCGCTTTTTTAGACTCTTAGACAGTTTTTCACTTTTCCATTTCCACCCTCGTATTTTATATGCACAAGTCTTTATATTAAAGTTACACTAGAATCGCTATTTTTCAACGTTTTTCTCCTTGTTTTTTAGCCTGCAGACAAAAAGTTTTTTTGATGACAATGTTTGTTGAAATTTTGATCAAGCGCCTGATCTGATCAATGAAATGAAATGATCACTTCGTGTTTCCTGCAAAACACACAAAAAAATATTGTATGTTTTTGCGTATATTATTTAATCGTTCAGATGCAATGGTTGCTCAAATCTTAATTGAACGCATTTGTTATAAGCGTTACTTGTTTCTCAATATAATAAAACTCTATTTTTCAACAAATTTCTTTCCGCTTTAACTTATTTTTCATAACAATAGTTTTGTTTAATAAAAATGCTTTTAGTCTTTATAGAAAAGTGCCCTTCTGGTTAATTCTGTAAATTCATTTGTCGACTTATGTGGCTGATTCAAAATTCGAAATAAATAGTTCCTATTTTCACTGTTCGTTTGGTGGTTGTATTGCCTATCTTTCACCTTACTTTTATAGCTTTTTTGCTTTTTCCAACATCTACTTTATTAATGTCATATTTTAATCACTTAAAACTCTAGCTCATTTTCGCGTTTTGTTTTTTGTTTGTGCAATTTTCGAAAACATCAGCACTTGCTTGTTTTAGTATTCGGTTTTTGCTGGTAAGTGAGCGAACACTCTTGCGGCCTGAAGAAGATTAATATTTCTTCCTGGTGGCTGCAATACAACAATCTCGAGCGAATTCTATATAATGTGGCATGTGAAAAGCGGAGGCGACGACGTGTTTTATAAATAAATAATCCACTTTTATCAACTTGGTGTAACTTTAATATAGGGCGATGGTGCAGTAGTCGGTGACAAGACAATTACCGATAGTTTTCTAAATGTGTCAGAGTAGATAGATCAGTTATTGAATATTCCGATAATTCCTCGTATATTGACGCTAACTAATCTTCTTTCGGCACATAAAGAGTAACATTATCTCCCAGTTGAAATTCGCTTAGGTATAACATTTTCACCTAGCACTTTTCAGAAGCTTTCAAATTTACTTAAAATATAAATCGGTCATCACCTATATTAGCGCTGTATTATAGAAGTGTATTAAAATTAATTTGTTGCACTATTTGGAGTCGTGCTAATTTCAGGTACTCCCAGAAACCGGTACTTCGTTTGTATAAAAATACTGGTTTCGGGAGTGTTAATTTCAGGTCCCAGTTTGAGCTAACAGGCTGCTAATCTGTATGCAGTTACCACCAAAACCTTTGGCTCTGATGCGGAAAGTTTCACTGTTCCAATTGTTTCCAAAAGTTCCCACTGTTCCAATTGTTTCCAAACTGTGAATTTGCTCGTATTTTTTCTAAATTGAAATGTATTTATTTGTCAGCCGTAAAACGCAAAACAAAATTATACATAAATAGTATAAAAACCAATTTGAATTTGCCGGTAAAACTCGCCATAAATGTAACCGCCAGAAGCCAAAATGCGAAACATGGTTTTTAAATTATTCTGAACCATATCGAGTCTCCCGCATCAATTTGGGGTTGGTTGTAACAAGGTGCTTAATTATATTCGTCATGAACTGTTCACCCTTCGCTGGAAATTACTTGTGGCTGGATCATTCGCAAATGAGATTCTGCTCCTTTCTGGTTGTACTTTTTAATTAATAAACTTTCTCTAAAGATATAATTATGCGAATATTTTGCGTGCATCAAGTTTTCAATTTGCTAAACGAATTAAGTTGAACGAGCTCTTTTTTTTTCTGAAAACACATCGCAATATCCTCAATATGAATGTACCTGTTCTATATAAGAACGTTCCTATCAACAGTTCGCAGCCTAAGTAAATCATCCCCTGAATTGATCAACCCAACATTTTCCGTTTCCGGTAAACTAATACGATTTTTCTCCTCGCGTCAGAAGCGGGAAAAGAAAATTGGTTTTCGACCGTAACACACGCGTCGGTCCAGACTTTACGCATTTCGAACATCTCGTAGCTAAAAAAAGATGCCGAAATAAATGTTTTACCAAAAGAAGGCAATTTACTAGAAGCGCTTTGTAATGTTGGACGGAAGTCGTAAGTACTGGGCAGAGAAATTCGAATACCGAGCTTGACACGCATTTTAACTGCGACATCATTAATTTTCATTTTTCAGCCCTTTTTTATTCCGTTAAAGACGAACAGTGGATGGTCGGCCTCCTTTATCAAAAGATAATGGTATTTACAATGGAAAGGTTAAAGCTTCACTCCACCTTTGACCTTTGGATTGAAGGAAACTAAGCAACAGTTTCCTTTAATGTTTTTTTTCGGTTGTTGGTTGGGAATTTTTTAAAGCATTTCACTATGTTTCCGGTAAAGGATAATTTCTTCAATAACCATAGGAAATTATTGAGAACATCAAGTCAACCATAAATCCAAGAGTTTCGTCGACATGCCTGTTGGAAAATTGAATCTCGAAACTAGAAAGACTCTAAATTTAAAAAGAGAAAGCTGAAGTATACAAAGGCTGTGAGCCAAACTAATCAAGTTTTTTCAGCTTTACTTTGAAACACTTTTGCCTTTGAAAAAAACGTAACTGTCAACAACACTCTTAGATAAAGCCAGCATGATTCTATCTACCGGTCTTCCCCATCAAGTGAATCATGAATTTAAATTCTATTTATTCTATATTATTTTAGACACTCCAGTTGATGCGACTGCCTGTGGTATTTATTCGGCAGTATACAGCTTGACATGCATGATCTTAGATTCGCTAAAAATGTTCTTCTTTAGCATTGGCTAAGTAGTGGCAATTAGTGTCGTGAAATCTAGACTTATTACGTAAAAAGAAACGATTGCCAGTTTAACAAATTACACTCTAACGATAATGTAGGCTTAAAGTTAACTTTCCAATGTAGAATCTGATATACAAAACTCGGACTTTTTATTTTTGAATTCAAACGTTAAACTATTTGCTCAAAACAAAAATTCTAAACTTATTTTTTTTTGGGAATCAGCTGACGCTTATTTGTAAATCAGATCCTATGGGAATTGCAAGTCGATCTTCATTTTTGGGTCTTAGGTTGTATTTTTCCATAATTTTAATAGAAACTTTGGCCTTTAAAGCATTGAAAAAGTCTTTTAGTTTTTACATGAAAGCAACTGCGCTTTTATCACAGAACATGCTCTCTAACTTTTCCCTACTACTTAATGTTTCAAGTCCATGCTCATATTTTAGCAAATGCACAAATTCTCCTGCAAACGTCCAAACTTACCTTAAGTCTCCTTCGATATTTACGGATTTTTTAGGTTTCTTAGGCTCCATTCTGCGTTGATATGGATATGAAGCAGAAAACCTGGCTGAATAAACAATACACGCAAGGATTAATAAGAAAATGTCGTTTTAAAATTTGTTGGTTGTTTTAATGAAAATTAGGGCACCGCTAGTTAAGCAATCGAGTCACGCAGGTCGTGATATGGAACATGCATTTTCGTGTTGCACGCACCAGTTTTTTCGTTTTTTCGAACGACATCGAAAACGCCATTTGTTGCTTTGACATTTCTTGTTTTTTTAATTTAGTTTGCATAACTTTTAATTGATTTCGACCTCCAATTGACACTTTTGAAGGTGCGCGGAACTTTTGTCTTCGAACAGGTTGAAAGAAAATATTGTGTTTTTCACCTTTATTTTCACTCTTTTTCTTAGATGGATTTTTCCATTGATTCGAAGATTTTTGTACAAACATTGACATGATTATTAAAAGTTTCTGTGCCTAAACCAAATTTTTACTTACAGTTCCGAAGTCTTTGCAATCGAGAACAGTCAGTTTGTGTTGAAAGGAACTTTTCAATTCCTTTAAGGCTTTTTTAGCAAAAAAAACTACAAAGCTGTTTACGGCCACTTTCCCGACTGGAAACTCATTCATGGAGAAACTGTGAAGAGTTTCCGTTAATTCGCAAAACGTACGTACAAACTCCAGCTTGTCGTTTGTTTGGGATTCAGCGTTTGTCTTTTTTTCTCACTTTCCGTCGCTTTACTAGTAAAATCAACTTTAGATTTCAGAGAGGTGAGTGCTGAATGCACTGAAAAGTAGGGTTTTTTACCGATATTCCTTCCGAAGCTTTAAACCAATTAGTTTAAGTGTGAATTTTCGAGATTACTGCTGAACATCTCAACTCTTAAGTTGATTTCAAAAGTCAGTGCACATTTACAAGCACTTTTGCTTTAGTAAAATATAATTTAAAAAATAATATAAAAACGTGTCGTCTGATATATCACATGACAATTTTTTGTTAATTTTAGATGAAGGATCGCGTTTAAAAATCAATTGCGAGCATTAATTACCAGTTCTCCCGCTGAATTTTTCCAAATCTAAAAACCAGTGCAAAAAGTTGTTGCTCGAATATCTCTGGATTCCTTTTATGTGGAAACTTCCTATCTATCTGAATAAAACGTGAGTTTATTGCCCAAAGAGTTTCGGCATTAAATTATGTTAAGCATCCAAGCAAAGAAATATTCAGAACCCGTGACGTGTTTATATCTACACTGACAAACTCCTGAACTCCCACTTTGCATAAGACGCCCTAATACCTGCCTCAACTACATCCCGCCGAGTAAATAACTTGCCAAACTCTAATCCCAACTATTTGCCCACAAAACAGAGGCTTTTATCATCATAAATATGTAACAGGGCAAGCCGGTTAAAAATTCATTAAGATATCCGAAACCGGGCGGGGAGAGTAAGGCGAGACCCAAAAATGACTGATCGCCTTCCACAACAGCTAAATTAAGTCCGGAATTATCAGCCCGTATTAGTTTGGGTTAATTATCGTGCTTTTTGCCCATTTTAGAGACTCCGCTATGGCTGCTGCTACAGATTTCTCCAATAAAAAACGAGAGGGACCTCGTCGTGCTGTTCCTGCTTACCTTCCGGGACATCACCGCCTTGAAACAACCCATAGAAACAGACGATTCGAAAGGAGGTAACATTTTGAAAATTTTTGCCACCATGCAGTGCAGATTTATTCCAACGCAATTACATGTTTTTAAATCTAAGATATCTGGGGGGCTCTGGAAACTGGAAGCACTTAAATAACTTTAAAACCGTCCATTAACATTTATGATTCTCAATGTACGCTTTTATAGAATCAGCTTTATAACTCCTAAAGGCTGCCATCGTTACAGTGCCATTAAAGTGGTGTTTTAGGTTGAACGTAGCCTTTTTCATAAAACTGAGTGTGGACGAGGCGGTTTTGTACGAACTTGCATGGCACATTGCCCCTTGGCCCATTTCACTGGGTTAATTGATAATTTTTCGAAATTATTGCGTTGAAAACTGAGCCTCGAACTGAAAAATTCAATTACTCTACTGGGCAATTAAATAAAGTTTATAGTGCAGGAAAATCGAATTTGCCATGTGCTCTTTTTAACGTTATTCAGGTTTAACGGGATGAAAAAGGGTAGTAATTAATCTTATTGTCCGGGGGGATTTCACTAAAATAAACCACTCAATATGGGAAAAAGATAATAACAGTAATATAACGGTTGTAGATAAGTTCTATATTGTTGAGGCGGATTCATTTTTTTACAAACTTCTTGTTGGGTATTTCGCCTCAAAAATTTTTGTCTTTAAAAAAGAC